GGAGATAAGATAGAGATACACATATATTATTATTATTATCTTGATCCTAGATCTTCTTTACCTATCATATTACCTCTATCCTTTTGTCACTGAAATGTATCCAGATGTCAGAATATACTCTCTGTGTCTAAGTCTGCTCTTCTTGTTTTCTCTGAAGGTCACTTTATATTTTTTATACCTAAAATTTCATTTTGTGATTTTAACAAACATTTACAAAGAAGTTAGATTTTCATTCATTATTACACATTTTACCCCCTCCACTTCCTTTCCCTTCCCCTAGTTCACTTTTTTAATGTTCATTCATTGTTGCACGATTACCTACCCCTCCATTCCTCTTTGTAATGACATATTTTATTCTGGGTTGTTATTATTCATATAAAGCCTCATCATCTATTCTTTTTAGAGAGTTCTTTCATCTGTTCAGTGCAATGGTCATTATCTCCACTCTTATCTTATTCTCCTACCAACCCCCCCATCTCAGACCTGCTTTATGATAGCGATGCTATGCAGTATTTGTCATTTTAAGGTCTCTTTAATTAGGCTACCATTATCATCACTCCAAGAGAACTATTTTTGCCAAAATTATTACTGATCCATATGTTGCTAAACCCAGTGATCAGTTCTCATCTTTGTCTTTCTTGACCTCTATAAATAGTATTGGACAGTTCACAGTGTCTCCTTCATTTAAAGACCTTGCTTTTAAGATGTTGAACTCTGAGTTTTCCTTCTACCACGCATATAAGACCGTCTCAGTCATTTTAATTGGCTCTTGATTCTTCTCTTGATTCTTTATGTTGAAATAACTCAGAACCTAGTCCTTCTGGTGTTTTTAGGTGTGGTTTATTTTCCCCCTACATAAATCTTTGCTTATTCAGTCTCATGACCTTAAATACCATCTATATTCTTTGTGTGTACAGCAGACCTCTTTCACAAACTTCATGTTTATAACTGACTGCATGTACCCATGTCACTATTAAATAGCAACCCAATGTGATCAAAATGGAACTCCTTAAGCTCCTTCAAATTTGCAGAACCCATAGGATACCTTACTCCAGATTAATAACTCCATAATTCCAACTGCTCATGTGGAGTTAATTAAACAAATAGATATTAAACTGTTACATCTTTATATTTTACATTATATATATATATATACACACACATATATATACATATATATTAATATATATATTTTATATTATATTGTACTCTATATCCAGTCCATTGGAAAATTCTACCTTCAAAACCCCTACCTACAAAGGCTCTGTCTACATCTATAAGGCAAAGACCTTATCCAAACATTACTCTAAAGCACAAGACAACACCATCTTCTGTCTGTATCACTATTATAATAATCTTTTAATAGAGAGCAGTAAAATTTCATTTTAAGTTAGTTATCTCTAAAATCAGCTAAAATCTTGTAAAATAACCTTTTAAAGTCTTTACCGCTCTATGTTATACATATGTATACAGACATTTCCATGTTGTTGTTATGTACTGTCAAGCCAGAACTGAACCACAGCTGACCCTCCAGTGGGTTTTCAGAGACAGTAATTTACACAAGAGGAGGTTGTCCCTCCTTCTCTTGCAGAGAAGTTGGTGGATTCAAACCACGTGTCTTTGGGATTGCAGCACCATTTCTTATCACTGGGCCACCAGTGCTCCCTATTTTCATAGTACATGTATAATCGTAGAATTTGATAAAAACATTCTCTTTGATATAGATTGGGATGTGTTGAACAGGGAAGTAATATCTTTGGCTTTTTAAACTTTGTTTTCCTACCATGTGCACAAAATTTAAATTCAGAGAAGTGTATGTGTGATACATTACAAATTATATATCACAGAAAAGCACTGCATATGTCATCCTACGTGGACAATTCTCCCCCATAAATAACGAATGTAGAGTTCTCATGCTTTAGAAATGAAAATTGGATCTCAGAAGTGAATAATGTGTTTAATGTCAAAAGCTAGCACCAGGAAACTACAATATGAAGACTTATTCATTTGCTCATGCAATTAGTTAGTTTAATGCCTTTCATAGAGAGTTCTGATGGAGCAGTCCTCGGAGAGTTGCACTGTTAACCTAAAGGTCATGCCTCTCTGGCAGTTCAAATCCACTAGCAGTTCCTTGGTAAAAAAAAGGAAGTCTCTTTATTGTAATTTAGGTCTCAGAAACCCAGTGGAAGATCAGCTGTAAATTCGATTCATTTGTTTCATAATTACTTGGTGCTTTTGTAATACAATATATAACAAACTGGTGTTTTAAAAGACTAGTACAAATAAAAAAACTCCTCACAGTACAGATACATTTAAACTCAGAGTGGCTCTAGGGAGAGGAGAACCTTTGTCTGTTACAACTTCTACTAGATACAAGTAATCCATGAACCTATAAAAGTATTTGTCTCTGCTTATCTTTCTCTTCTGTCTGTGCATGTGTGTGTATGTGCTTGTGTATGTCTGCTCTAGTGTTTGTATAAGTCAAAAGTGTTAAGAACTCACAGTTTTCTGAGATTATGACTGTAATAACACAATTTTAAAGACCTTTTATTTCCATAGAGTCATATAAATAGATACATTTATAGGAGTTGGAATTTCAACAGGAAGATACAAATGAATCCTTAACAACTGGTAATATTAATGTCAGTATTTCCCACACATTCAGCTTGGGAAATTTAATTTCTGTTTACTATTTTTTAACTCTTCCTGAAAATCTTATACATGCAAGCATTTTGAGAGATATAAAACATCTTACCTCTCTTCTCTCAATATTTATTCTTGGTAGTGCTATTTATTTTGCTTCTTTTTACTTACTGATGTTTGGAGAAGTACGAGTTTTTGATTCTTACTAGTGATATTTTGGCCTTAGTAATCATGGAAGTAGCACAAAGGCATCTGTTACAATTAATTCAAAGAAGAGCAGAAAGTACTGCTTCTGAATCCAATGAAAAATATCGATCTTATCAAGGCTACAGCTATTCTCTTGAGACTTGGCTTCAGCAAAATGCTAAAAGGTGTAAGTTCTGAAGTAAGCTGAAAATCTATAATTAAAGCTTGTGTTTCTTTTCTGTTAGAAGTAAGCTGAAAATCTATAATTAAAGCTTGTGTTTCTTTTCTGTTAACACAATTGCAATACATTCTCCCTTGGGAGCCATGTATACACTGGAGAGCAGCACAGACATTTGGAGAGGTACAACAAATAGGCTATGCTCTTGAGACTCAGTTGATCACAGAAGGAAATCAAGTGTTGTAAAGTTGCTCAGATCCACATTCCAAATGCTAGAATTCCACTCAAAGTAGAACCCTTCTTACTGGCACTAGAACAGAGTGCCACTTCATTCATTCTTTCCACAAGTATTTAGTGAGTTTATCTTATGGGAAGACACAGTCCTAGATACTGAGCAGAGTACCCAACAAAATCATTCTTGTCTTGGGCAAGAGAAAAGCAAATATTACAAAGAGACATAAAGAAGTAAATCTGAGAAACTAAGTGTAAGTGACAAAGTCTTACGTGACCAATCACTCTTTCCCAAACACCTTCCAAACTGTGGCTCTTTCCGTCATCTCATGTGTTTCCTTTGGTTCATATATTTGTTTCTTTTGTTCCTCTGTTGTTGTTGTTATGTGCCGTTGAGTCACCTGAGACTCATAGAGACCCTATGTACAACAGTCTTAAACCCTGCTCTGTTCTGTGCCAATCTCACTATCTCTGACACACCTACACCCATTACCCCAGTCACTGAATCAATCCACCTCGTAGAGGGTCTTCCCCTCCTGTGCTGTCCCTCTTCCCTCCCAAGCATGATGTCTTTCTCCAAAGACGGGTCACTCCTTGCAACACGTCTGAAGTATGTCAGACGAAGCTTTAGAATCCTTGCCTCCAAGAAGCAGCCTGGTTTCACCCTCTCCAAGACAAACATGTTTGTTTTCTTTGCAGACCACGGTATATTAAATACTTTTCTCCAGTATCACAGCTCAAAGGCATCAATTCTCCTTCTATCCTCCCTAGTCATTGTCTACCTCTCTGATGCATAGCAAGTGATTGCAAAGACCATGTCCTGAATCAGGTGCACCTTAGTCTCCAGACTGACATCATAGCTCTTCAGTACTCTGAAGAGGTCTCTGACAGCAGACTTCTCCAACACAATACTTCTTTTAATTTTCTGGCTGCTTGTGCCAAGAAGTGTTGATTGTGGAGCCCAGCAAACTAAAGCTGTTAACAATCTCAATCTCTTCACCATCTATCATGATGCTGCCAATTAGCCCAGTGGTGAGAATCTTTGTTTTCTTGATGTTGAGCTTCAATCCATATTGAAGGCTGCAGTCCTTGACCCTCTGCAGCAAGCACTTCAGGTCCTCCTAAGTTTCAGCAAGCAGGGTTGTGTCATCTGCCTTTCAATCTTTTATATTCCTCTAAGAAATTAAAAAGCATATTGCTTCATGACATTTTTCTTACTGTGCTTGAAATGTATCTGTAAACATATATGAGTATACATTTGATATAGAAAGTATTAAGCCTTTTCCATTGGAATCTAAGTTTGACAAGGTAAGGAATTTTATTCTTTTCCTTGCTACATCTCCAATTCATCTTGCATTCTAGTAATTCAATGAACAATTTCATAGTGAATTAAGGAGAAAAAAGGGTTTGGTTGGTTTTTTTTTTCTAGTTGTGTATGAAAAATTAATGTTTGGGAGAGGAGAGGTATAGCATGAGCAGGAAAGTTTTTCAAAAGCTTCAAATAGATGCACAATATCACCTTACAAGTTATCAATTATAGAAGAATATATATAGATACACACACACAAAATTATACACACACACACACACACATGTTGTTGTTAGGTGTAATAGAGTATAAGATGACTCATAGCGACCCTATGAACAAAAGACCTCAACATTTGCATAACTTTCATAGTGTCTCCATGTTCATAGAGTTTCTGGAGGCAAGCTCTTTCAGAAGTGGATGTCACTCCTGCTTCCAAGCTTGTTTTAATCTGGGATCTCTACCAAACACTGTGCAAAATGGGTAACCATTATTGCATTTGACACATCAGTGTCACAGTCTTTAACATCACAACAATCATGAGTTACCTCTGTACAGCAAATGGACAGACCAGTGCTAATGGGTAAGGAGGTAGGGGTGGGAATAGGTGGGGGGTTGGGTAAGGGGTAGGAGTGGGAATTGGTGGAGGGTTGGGTAAAGGGTAGGGTGGGAGTTGGTGGGGGGTTGGGTAAAGGGTAGGGTGGGAATTGGTGGCAGGGCTGGGTAAGGCGTTATGGTTGGGCATAAGTAGGGCATTGGGACAGGGGTTTGGTGGGAATAAGTAGGAATTAAGGACAGAGTTTAGGGTTGGGAGTAGGTAGGCTAAATATGAAGATTTAAACAAAAAGACAGTTAATACTCTCGTTAGATTGTTTCTAGTTAGGAAAATGAAATATGAGGCAAGATAAGGAATAGAGCATGGAGTGCTGAATACTTTCACAAACTTCTTTAAACAGTGTGAGTGGAGAAGCAGGTTGAAGAAACCATTAAGCTTACCTTAATTGGAATTGAGTCAGATGAGTAGAATGGAAGGAAATTGGAAGGATGGGATTGTGATTTTAGATGGATAGAAAAGCAAGGCTCATCAGCAACCTGTATTGTTCAAATGACACACCTTGCTTGTCAAAAGTGAGGAGGACCTAAAAGTACTTGCTGTAGAGGATCAAAAACTGAAGCCTTCAATATAGATTGTATCTCAACATCAAGAAAACAAAAATCCTCACCAATGGAGCAATAGAAAACATCAAGAAAGATGGAGAAAAGAGTGAAATTGTCAGTGATTTCACCTTGATTGAATCTATGGTCAATATCTTTGGTATCAGCATTCAGATCTGAGGATGTACCTCGTTGGGAAAGTCAGCTGTCAAAGATATCTCCAAAATCCTAAAGAGCAATGATGTTAGTATAAAGACTAACAGGTGCCTAAGTCAAGCCACAGTCTTCTCTATCATTTGTTATGCATCTGAGAGAAGGGCAATGAATAAGGATAATGGAAGAATAGAGGCATTTGAGGTGTGGTGCTGGAAAAAAATGCTGACTATCTCATGGACTTAAAAAAAAACAAACAAACAACTGATAAGGCTTAAAGAAAGTGCAACCAGAATGTTCCCTGGAGGCAAAACTGGCAAAGCTCCATTTCACATACTGGAGATATTTGTTAGGAGAGGCTATCTTTGGAAAGAAGCATGGTGCTTGTAAAGATGGAGGGTCAGAGTAGGAAAGGAAGACCATCAACAAGACGGGTTGATACAGTGTTTGCAGCAATGCACTCAAAGGTGTCAAGGATAATAAGGATGGTGCTGGCTATGACATAGTTTCGATATACTGTTCATCCAGTCACTATGAGTCATTTACAACTTGATGACACTTAACATCACCACAGATGGATGACTGTATTTTTGAAATATCAGCTAGGCAATGAGTAAACATGCATGGGAAAGGAATTATGAATAATGATAAAGTTGTGGTTTTCTCAGATTTCTCAGTCAAAGGCAGAAATGACAATTTATGAGATAGAATAATGGAGCCTGGAAGGAGGATGGTAGGAACAATTCCATTCTGGGTATCTTTGATAGAAGGTGGCAATTATGGAAGATTGGAGGACTACTTCTATGCTTCCAATAGAGAAAATGGATGAGATTAATTAAGTCCTCCTTTGTGATTTAGGAGAAAAATTTTAGGTTGACATGGCCCAGAAAACAACCTATTGTTTTATCAGTGGATGTGAGTGGTGGAAACGGAAGAAATATGCAGTGCACATTTACTATATGTTCAAATAATTACTCAGACCACCTGAACTATACTACCTCGTCAAATAAAGCTGTCATCCCATTGCTCCATGGTTGGAAACATTCTTTCATACTGCAAAAGCAATAGAGAAATAGTTTTCCAATATTTATTGAAAACCAAGTAAAGTCTTGAGTGAAAAAAAAATAAAAATTCAAAGTATAGTGATTACCATTCTTACAATATTCCAGTTAGCTCACAAAGTCTAATAAGATATGCTCATACCATTGTTGTGGTTTCTAAAGTTTATAGTCTATGGTATATTTATTCCATGTATTTTACTTGGTACTCTCTCTGTGCATCTAATGGTATAGCTGTTGCTACTTACAGCAATGCTGTGGTATATGACCCAGAAGTACCTTTCAGATAGAAAATTCCTCATCTGTCAATGTAAGGGAACAACTGTTGTTGGTATGTGCCATCAAGTCACTTGTGACTCATAGCAACCCTATGTACAACAGCCCTAAACTCTGCTCTGTCCTGTGCCAATCTCACTGCCTCTGACACACCCATCCCGATTACCCCAGTCACTGAATCAATCCACCTCATAGAGGGCCTTCCCCTTCTGCGTTGTCCCTCCACCCTCCCAAGCATGATGTCCCTCTCCAAGGTCCGGTCTCTCCTTACAAAATGTCCAAAATATGTTAGATGGAGCCTCAGAATCCTTGCCTCCAAGGAGCCACATGGTTTAACCCTTTCCAGGATGAATCTGTTTGTTTTCCTAGCAGTCCATGGTACTCTCAATACTCTTCTCCAGCACCACAGCTCAAATGCATCAATTTTCCTTCTATCCCCCTTAGTCATTGTCCAACTCTCTGATGCATAACAAGTGATTGTGAAGACCATGGCCTGTATCAGACACACCTTAGTATCCAGAGAGACACCATTGCTCTTCAGTACTTTAGAGAGGTCCCTAACAGCAGACTTTCCCATCACAATACTAACTCAAATTTAAGTTACTGAGAATTTGTCTATCCTCTAAGGAATTATCTTGTCCCACATTATGCCCTATTCCAGTGGGTAGGACATATCCAAAATATATCACAGCAGATGCAAACGTCTAACTCTTTTTTAACAATCTTTGTCATTACTTAAAGGTAATAATAGCTCTTACAAAGTTAGAAAGCATGAATATATAATTTATATAGAGAGATTTAAATATATAGTTTACTGGAGTTCATCAGAATTCATCACTATTCAACCTCTTTCCAATTATCCCTTTCTTTTCCTTCTTACATGTATTGTGTCTAGAAACATTGTATAATAACTCTTCCTGCCTGCAATTTGTTTTCCAGTCCATTTTCCTGGAATCCAAGAAGAGACATCAACATAGATATAATAAAACAGTGGTTGACAAGAACAAAGTACTGAACTAGAGCACAAATCCAGGCCTGCTGATACCAAAAGTTTAATTATTCCAGACACTGCATTCATTTACTGTCCTGAAAGATAAGAGCCACATCATTTTTGTTTATGATATCAAGATACCAAACAGTGCATCTAATTTAAAAGCATCTGTTCCAATAGGAATATGTATTTAAGTAATCAGAAATAGAATAAATATGTTCTTCTACATTGAATCATTATGCATATCATGATTTTACAGTATGCTTTTCTGTAAGATTTTTTTAACAGCTTCTTTCACATCTTTATTTTTCAAACTGTAAATGAGGGGATTTAACATAGGGATCACCATCGTATAAAAGACAGAGACAACTTTGTCCTGTTCCATCGAGTAACTAGATGTTGGACGCAAATACATGAAAAGAATTGTTCCAAAGAATATGGTGACAGCAGCGAGGTGAGAGGCACAAGTGGAGAAGGCTTTGTGCCTTCCCTCTGCTGAGGGCATTCTCAGGATGGCAACGAGGATGCATAAATAGGAAACAAGCACGATGACGACACAGCTGATGACATTGAAACTGGAGAAAGCCATGATCACGATGCCATTGATGTGAGTGTCAGAGCAAGAGATTTTTAGCAAGGGTGGGGTGTCGCAGTAGAAATGGTTAATTCTGTTCGATCCACAGAAGGATAATCTAAAAGTCATTCCCGTGTGGATGGCTGCATTCCCAAAGCCTGCGAAGAATGAAGTAGCTACTAGTAAGAAGCAAATTCTCCCGGACATGAGAACTGGGTATAGAAGAGGATTCCAAATAGCTGCATAGCGGTCATAGGCCATCATGGCCAACAGGAAGCACTCAGTCCCTAGGAAGGAGCCAAAGAAGTAGAACTGGGCAGCACATCCATTGAAGGAAATGGCCTTATTCTCAGACACAAGATTCTCCAGCATCTTGGGAGTTACAGACGAAGAATAGAAGGCGTCAACAAAGGAGAGACTGCTGAGGAAGAAGTACATGGGGGTGTGGAGACAGGGATCAAGCTTAATCAGTATGATCATTCCCAAGTTACCTACCATGGTAGCCGTGTAGATTGATAGAAATAATATGAAAAGAAAAACTTGTAGATCTGGGTTGTCAGAGAGCCCTAAAAGGATAAATTCTGTTGCTTCCGTTTGATTTCCACCATAAGCCTCTTTCAAATATTGTGTCATTTGGGCTAGGGTAGGAAAAAAGATAGAACAGACGTTTGATGAGCTGAATACATAACGAAGCTGTAAACATCTTCTCACTACCAAATACTCCTGTGCATTGCTGTACAGAGGTAACTCATGGCTGCTGTGATGCTAAACACTGGGACACTGATGTGCCAAATGTGAAAATGTGGTAATGGTGGACAGTGTTTGGTGGAGCTTCCCAATTAAAACAAGCTTGGAAGCAGGAGTGGCTTCCACTTCTGAAATGGCTTGCATCCAGAAGCTCTGTGAAGAGTGCTCAGGTCTTTCATTCATAGGGTCGCTATGAGTTGTGTACAACTCGACAGCATCTAACAACAATAAAAACAGCATACTCTGACAGGAGCGAAAACTGAAAAGCATAGTGCAATATGTACTGAAGAACTGCTTATGACTACTATGTGTATTGTTGTTGTCATCATCACTATGTACTGTGAAATCAGAAGAGACTCATGACTGACTCTCCAATGGGCTTTGAAAGGCTGTAAATCACATGAGAGAAGATTGGCCATTTTTCTCCAGTGGAGCAGCTGGTGGATTGAAACCATGTGACTTTGGGTTGGCAGCTCAGGTTCTCACCCCTAGGGTTCCAGAGTTAGGACTATGGGTCATTTTGTTGTGTACTATTGAGTTAGAACCGACCCACAGCTGACCCTCCAGCTAGTTCTCATTGGCAATCAGAGCAAAGACATATTTCATAGGCACACGGAAGGAGATTTCTCGTTTTTCTCCTGTGTAGCAGTTGGTGGATTTGAATTACTGACCTGGGGGTTGCCAGTGCAACTTGTTATCATTAGATCACCATTGTCTACTAAAGTCATGATTTTCAGCTAGTAATTGAGTAATAATTAACCATAAAATAAGGCCCCTTTTGACAATATGTTTTTAAATAGTAACAGAGAAATACCTTTGAGATTTAAATTTCTATCTCACTCATTCTCATTCCCATCAAACTGGCTCTGACTTATGGAGGGTCCTGCAGTGGGTTTCGGAGGCTGTGAATCACATCTTTCTTGTATGTAGCTGCTGGTGGATTTGAACCATCAAAATAAGTGCAGCCTTTGGTTTGACGCTACAATTCTTTACAGACTGCGCCACCTGAGCTCCCTAAATTTGATTATGTATGAAAAATTATCTAATTCATATATAAACATCATTTATAGACACGATTTCTGAAAAAAATTATGATGGGGTTAATTCAGACCACTAATATTCTTTCTAACTACTAATGAAAAGTATACAAGATATTAAAACTAGCAATATGATTAACAACATCAGGGGAAAGACTTGACTCTAGAAGAACAGATGTTAAAAATTTATATCATTGATGACCACAGAAAAATACTAAAGAACATCTATTTACAGTTCAGCAAATTACAATACTATGCTAAATTCCAAAAAAGAGCATTCACAGAAAAAGAAAAGTAAAATAACAATTGACATTTTCCACCCAATACACTGCTCACTTTTGAAGGTATTAGGGGAAATTAGAAGTAGCTTAAACAGAAATCATTTTATTTCTGGCAAGGCTTAACAAACACTAAAGTAAATTTTAAGTGAGTGCAGATTCAAAGTCTATATTTTCAAAAGTTGGTTGCTAAAGGATTTCATAAAATACTATAGAACATGGGAGAGTCTAAAGAACATTATGTGAGTGAATTAATTCTGACTCAGTAAGCACAAATACTACATTAGACCATTACTGTAAAAATGACATCATAACAAATAACATGTATAAAATTCAAAAGGCGAAGGGTTGGGCATCATGGGGGCTTAGAGTGAGGTGTGTCACAGGTAGGAGAAAATCACTGGCATGGCAGAGTTTGGAAAAAATTAGGAGAGATCCCAAGGATACATAAGGTTTAGATGGATTTTTCAAAAACAATGTATATGAATGATGATATGAAACACAACTTGAATGAAAGGATGTGTGAAATACAATATACAGGAATGAAACACAATAGATACAAATTTTGTAAGGAACCAAAAGAAAACTAAAAAGAGGAAAATGTAAATTACCAAGATTTAGCAATAATCAAATACATGACAAATTATATCTAGATATATCTGTATTGAGTCTTTTATTTCAATGATTTAGAAAGAATTATTTGTACTAACTTGGGAGGGACCAGAGAGCATTATGTTGAGTGAACTAGCTCAGTCCCAAAAAGGACAAATACTGTATAAAACCACTATTGTGGAATGAGTTTGAGGATCCAAGGCAGGGAGGAGGGTGGAAAGAGAGGTGTGAGGATGGGGAAGTAGGGTGTTAATCACAGGGTTGCACAAATTAATGGGTGGGTGGGATGAAGGAAATGGGAAGGATCTTTTGTGAAAAACAATGTATTCAAACTTTGGAAATAAATCAGTGTAAAATAAAGAATCATTTGTACATTGAAGGGGAAAATCATATTATCTGAACTAGATAAAATAACCATTTAGCCTCTGACCTCTTCAGAATGCATTTCACACCAATAGACAATGGTGCAGACAATGTTTTCACTAGGAAAAGAGGACTTTGGAATGTCATTTCAGTTAAGGATCACTAACACAAAAATTATGATACAAGAAGTCAGAAGACAGTAGATCCCTTCTTAGAAATGCCTCATGATCAAATTTAAGTTGTCAAGAATTTTAAACAGGAAAAAGAGTTCTGCCTAAAATGAACACTGAATCCCCTTATGTCTGTGAAAAGTGAAACTGCAGAGCAGAATTTTGCTAGCGTAAACCAGAACAAATTCAAAACCATGATCCAACACATGATTGCAGAGGTTGGACAATTTGGGAAGGATTATAGTAGGATTTAATGCTTTTTAAATTATTTTATATTGCCTATCATAGAGCTCCCTGATTGAACAAGTGTGGAAGGAGGAGTGGCGTCCACTTTCATAATAGCT